TTGGGTGTGGTATGCTTTGTCCCAGATCACTGGTTTGCCTGAAGCATCACAGAAAAAAATGGAAAACATGGGGGGTGGAGTGACCAGTCAGGCCATGCATGTGATTTCCAAGCTCTTCCAGTTCCCAAACAGTTTCAAAGGGTGTGCAGGGAAGGAGCTGGCCAGTGGATTGGTAAGCCTGCTCAAGAAACCAGAAAGTTGACTGAATTTAAGATGAAGTTAGGAAGGTGAACAAAAGGGCAATCATTAATGCTGACAGAAAACTGATGCGCATTGGGGTAATGAGTTGACAAATAAAAACCCAATGCACATCAGGAAAACAATCAACACAAAAAAAGAGTGATGACCATTACCTTGGGGTGTGAATGGAAGAGGTATGGAACTTTGTCTGAGCAGTGGAGAAGAGCTGGTCAATGTCTTCATGTGTATGCCCAACCAACAGAAAGCTCAGGTAGACCTCTTGGAACATATCCAGGCTGACCAGGAGACTGAGGAAGGCAAGCATGAAGACATTCTTGTTCTCAGCAGCACAATTGTCAGCCTGCAGGTAGAGGATAGAAGGGTGAGTGTTGGAGGTGGTGTTAGTCAAAAGGTGAGTTCAGATGTGGTGAAAGAGTGTGGAGATGACAAGGTTAGCATCTTTTGGCCAGAAGGGCTGAGGGTGTAGAAAGAGGTGTTTGCCATGGCTGTGGTCAATGAGACCACCAAGAACCATGGTGAACCAGTTGCCAAAGTGCATCCAGGCATTTGGCACAGGAGTGTGGGTGGGGAGAGGGAGTGGGTTGGAGTAGTCAATGATCAGGCTCATATAAAGACTTGGTCAACTTGTTGCTTGGTGGCATCAGTCCTTGTAACTGAGGCGTTCTGCAGAAGAAAGTGCAAGGTGGTGAGTCCATGCCTCAAGAGGGCTTTTGGCTCTCAAGCGTTGCTGTGCAAAGTCAATGCAAGCAGAGCACTTGCCAAGGCGTGAGTTCTTAGGCAACTTCACATAGGCAAAGTGGGAAGCAATGTGTTTGAGCATAGCAGAATAGGTGAGCACAGGAACAGTTGAGGGATGAGCATTGGCACACATAGAGTGCACTTCTTGCCAAGTCAAAGAAATAGGTAAGTGGATGGTGGCATCAGGAAGGTGATCTCCAATAACATCAAAGAAAGTGGTTAGCCATAAGTGGGTATTTGAGGTGGCATTTGAGGGACGTTGCTGTCCAGTGGTGTTGTGTATTGGGACACGCCCACCAGAAATGAAAATCTGTTTAGCAGAACGCCACTTCTTCCTGCTGAAACCATGCACCTTGGGCTTGCTCTGTGGCGCTGGCTTGCCACCGCCCTTAGTTGCTGCCTTTGTCATGGCCCACTCACTGAGCGCACTGGGCAACACCACTCTGGAATTGAGCAGCTCCACTAGAGCCACAAGGGCGTCCTGGCCCTCTGCTGCCTCTGGGCCACTGGACGCAGATGGGCCACTAAACCCCTCCATGTTGGGTGCGGGTGGAGTTGTACAAGCACCAGGGTTAGGTCCTTTGCCTTTGAGATCATCCACCAGCTCCTCCTCTCCCAAGTCACTCTCACCAGACACCTCACTCTCACTGGACACCTCACTCTCACCATCCACATTGATAACATCATCGCCATCCAAGACTGTCACTGGACCCACAGCGCCTGCCTCAACAATTAAGGGAGCAGTGGGGTCTGGAGTAAAATAAAATTGAGCACCATGGGGCCCAAGTGAGCAGATCAGCACTCAAAGAATGTGTGTCAAGAAAATGGATTTAAAAAATTTCAACTATGTGGACATGACCATCACATGCACAGTAGAAGCTCTCACTGGCAGTACTCCAGTGCTTGAACACACTCCTGGATGCGTTGCTTCCATGCTGACAGTGGAGGTGTGTTGTGCTTGAGGACTCATCAAAGTTGCTTGATCTCCTCCATCACCTCCATGGCTTCGTTCTCAGTGGCAATGCTTGAAGGAGAGGGGAGGATGTGCAGCGCCAGGTCCTCAAGGCGCTCATCAAAAGTGTGTGGGCAGTGTTGTGACGGTGGAGGAGGCAGTGTGGTGATGGCTGGAAGGGTAGCAAGAAAGTCCCCCAGGTTGAAGCTGTCTTGTTGCAAAATGAGGGGAGCAGAGGATGGTACGGGTGCTGAGGAGGGCACAGAAGATGATGAGTGAAGGGAAGCAGTGGGTGTATGTCCTTGATGATGTTGGACAAGGCTCCCCTTAGCCTTGTAGCGTTTTGTGCACCCAGGATAGGTACATGTGAAGGGCTTGCTGTCTGTGGGTGATGGAGGCTGAGAGGCTGTGGAGGATGATGAGTGGGATAGTGAAGAGTAAGATGAGGATGAAGAGGAGGAAGAGGAGGATGATGATGATGATGATGATGAAACTTGAGGAAAGGTAGGTGGTGAGACAAGGGGTGGTAAATGGTAGAGCTGCATGTCTTCCTTGCCTGCTTTCTCCTTCCCTTTGGCTTGTTTCGCTGATGGTGCTGAAGATGGAGGACCAGTCCGCCTCTTGGATGTTGGTTGTGTTATCTCCTGTTGATCACGCCAATCAGCAGTTGGCTGCACATGTGCACACACACACAATGGGGCACATACTGTGGGCATGTGACCAAAAACATGGTCCTGTACACACTGAAGCAGTGTTGCCTTCAACTCACTTGACCTGCAGGGAAGCTTGTGCTCAACGAGGTATGCCTTGAGGTCTGCCATGACCACTATCACTCACATAAGAAGAGCAGCCACACACCACACTGTGGGGAAATGTACACTCTCCCACTCTATGACCTCGCACACTGTGGGCCACAGACTGGGCCAAGGCTATCTTGGGTTTGTAGGTCACTTTTTTCTTTTGTCAGGCTGCCTCTCCTCGCCTTTCTGTGCGCCACACCAGATGACCAGTTAGGGCACCACACATGTGCCAGGAAATGTTGCATACTTGTTTCAGCCTGTGCATGGCACTTGAGCTCCTTACACCATTGTTTGTACTGCAGGGTGCACTTGTAGGCATCTCACTTAGCCCAGTTCCTGATGCACCTGCGCCAGGTGGCTTCATGGTGGTGGTTGATCTTGAATCCAAGATGACGCAACACATCCAGAAGTGATGTGCTCCCTAACATGTAGGTGTCAGCACAGACATATGCATAAAAGGGTGAGCGGGCAAGCAGAAGGGTGAATACCTTCATTCCACTCAAGTATCCCAGCATCAAAGAGGGGCCCATACATGACTGTCAGATTGCACTGCTTGTCCGCTTGCTTGGCTGCTGAGCCATTCAGAGACTTGATCTGGTTGGTATTGAATCCATGAAGGTAGTGCTGTTGATTGTCAAGGTAGCCCTCAATGAATGCCTGAAGTGTGTCAACTGCTGCTGCATCATTGACCAGGTGCAAGCAGGGGGTTGTCTTTCATGGCTGCAGGGTGTGCAGACACTGGGTGTGGCACTTGTCCGTGGTGTGAGGCACAAACCCATGCATGTGGCTGCAGAATGCCTCTTCATTCTGGTGATACTTGACACCTGCATGACCTCCCCACACCAGCGCACACACCCACCACATGACATGATCAACACACAAGTGGTGCTGGTGTTTTACAGGTGTGCTGGCGTACCAAGTAGGAAATGAGTCTTCAGTGAGGTGCCCAGGTCTGCCAAAGCAGGGAAGTCTTCAGTAAGGTGTTCAAAGCTCTTGATGAGACCCTTCACATAGTGGTTAGGATCTCAATTGATGGTGATGTCCTTGCCAAACTGAGCTTCCACAATTGTGTGGATAGCTGAGTCCCCATCCACAGTCACTGAGGTGAGTACAATGCCAGCCTCCTGAGTGTTCATAAGTGGGGCAGATATCAACAACAGGGCAAGCAGAAGCAGAAGTCAGTTGTGGTGCATCTACCTTGAGCTGGGCAAGCACAATCACTGAGCCATCACCTTCAGCAGTACTGGAAGTGCCTGTGTAGGTGCAGAGCTCATGCTGCGGGGCGCCAGAAGCAGTGTCCTTTTGCATGTGCTTGTGGGTGATGATTCCACCTTTGGTGTTTTCTGCAGCAATAACAAGCCAGATGGTGCTGGTTGAGCAGGGGTGCTAAGATGGGGTACTGTCCTCTGCCCACCTCCTGCCAATCCTCACACCACAACATCGCAGCCTCCATGCAGTGGGGGCACGCCATTAGCTGGAAGACCACAGCAAACTGCTCAAGCTCAATAAAGCCAAAGCAGTGCTTGGGCTGCACCTTTGCCCTCGCTTGGGTTTGCCACTGTGGTGGAGAGGCACTTCAGCAGCACTTGATCTGCGCCAGCTTGGCCCATCAACATTTCCACTCTTCCTGGCACCATTCCTTCTCCTCTCTTGCCCACTGCTGTTGCTCCCACCACTCCTTCTCTTCTCTCAATTTCTCTTCTCGCTCATGACGTTGCTTCTCCTCCACTGCTCACCTCTCTTCATCTGCTTTTCACTTGCAGTTTTCCTTTCATCTAGCGATCTGGTTGGTGTTGTGCCTCTCCTTGTAGGCCCTGCACACAACAGCAGGGTCAAGAAGTTGGAAATTCAACACCTTCGCCTGCTCCTGTGTGTTGTTCATCTTGTGATACCCTCCGCGTACTGTGGCCCTGCCCCTAGGCACCATGCTTCTTTGAAACTTTTAGTACCCAAAAGTTTGGTTTTTTTGTGCACCACACAATACCACAACATCCAGAGCAATAAAATGCACTTGGCGCATTCTTTGAGCGCTGATCTGCTCACTTGAGCCCCACGGTGCTCAATTTTATTTTACTCCAAACCCCACTGCTCCCTTAACGCTCTGACCTTCTTAGTTTTCTTGGCCAACTGTATGGACATACACTAGCCGTTGTCACCAAAGTGACACGCAGTGCGCATGAGGTTCAGGACATATATGTACTAGGAGGCCAAGGAATAGGTAGAAGAGGTGTGTATAATATCCCTTTGAAAACAGTAATAAATCATATTTATTAGACCATTAACAGTGGCCAAACCACCACACCTGATTTGTCCATATATTGCCCTCTGCTCTCAGAGGACAGTGGAACATTTTAGCAGGATCCTCTTTGGCCACTAGCCACTTCCTAATTAGGGATAGCCAATAGGGTTATAATGATAATTCAGTTAACAATAATAAATAAAAAGTAGAGACTGTTTGTCAGTCTTGTTGTGTGATGTTGGTGTGGAAGTGGGTGAGTGAGCTGGCTGTGGTGCTGGCTGTGGTGCCAATGGTGGCAGTGGTGAAGTCAATGACAGCAGTGGTGTGGGTGGCAGCAGTAGCACTGACAATGTCAAGTGCATTACCACCAACAGAGGCAGCAACAGTGACAGCAACAGCAATGGCGACAGTGACAGCAACAGCAACAGCAAGGGCAACAACAGCAAGGGCAACAACAGTGAGGGTGACAGCAGCAAGGACAACAACAGCAAGGGCAACAGCAGTGACAGCAACAGCAATGGTGAGGGCAGCAGCAACAGCGGCAGTGGCAAGGGCGGCAGTGACAGCAACAGCAAGGGCGAGGGCAATGGCAACAGCAACAGCAAGGGCTGCACCAGCCCATACAGCATCATCAGGCGCAGCCTCAATCCACTTGGCGTCCTTGAGCGCAGCAGCTGCTTGCACTACCACATCTGCATTGTCAGACACAGCATCACCACCAGTGTCAAGCAAGAAGGATAAAGAGTGGGATTGGAAGAGTGAAGAGATTGAGGTACCAACCTTCAACTTCACTCAGACGCCTGGGCCATGCAACTGCCCACCCATGATGATGGTGCTCAATACCTTCTCTGCCATCCTCTCCCATGACTTCTTGCAGCACATCATGAGTGATACCAACACCTATGCAGCAAGCAAGTATCCAGAGCTTGGCAGTGTGATGAAGGAGGAGATGTGCACATACTTCGCCATCCTCTTGGCAATGTCAATGAAGACAGCGCCATCATTGAGAGATCACTGGAGCAGGGATCCACTGCTTGGCATGCCATGGATCTATGAGAAGATGGGATGAGATTGATGGTTAGCAATCCACAAGGCTCTGCACTTCAACATCATCAAGGTTGAGAAGATGGTGCATGAGGCCTCACAGCTGCACTGGGTCCCATCACAGAAGGTGTGCATCAACAAGGGCATCAGGCCATGGCAAGGTAGGAAGAAGGGAGTGAAGGTGTACATACTCAGTAAGCCTCACCCAAACAGCATCAAGATCTACATCCTTGCTGATGACAGCAACTACGTCTACAACTTCTGGATCTACCGTGGCTTTCAGCCACCTATTCACACAATAGTGACTGATTTCCTCCATAAGTTACCAGGTGTGTACACACATCACCACCATCATTACATTCATCCTGACCACATCAGACAAATACTAACATCAAATTGAATTCAGGGGAGGGGTACCTTGTCACAGGTGATGCTTACTATGGCAGCTTGACAGTTGCCAAGGCAGTGATGGACCAGGGCAAGCACCACTTCCTCTTCAGCTGCAAGGCCAACTACCTGTTCAAGCAGCACACATTGCCTCATGTCAAGGTCAAGGGTGACTCAGCCTGGACATCAAGCAAGAAGCGCCTGCTCATGTACTCCTACGTCAACAAGAAGCCACTCAACATGATCACCAACTACTACAAGAGACCACTGGCCACCAGAGAATTCAAAGATGGCAGAGCCATACCCAACATCATCGCCAGCTACCGCAGCACCCTCAGCTACATCGACCAGGCAAACCCATACCACCTGTGCTATCACTTTTGCCACTGCATCTTCAAGCACACACAAGCACAGTTCCACACCACATTCATGATCAGTGTCGTCAACTCCTGGCTCCTCTACACACATGTCAACAAGGACAAAAAGGGTGTCATGTACTGCAATTATCTATGTCTTCTGATGGAGGCTCTCACAAAGGTTGGTGGACATCATCATATCACAAGCGCAAGCGCCAGGCTGCCAATTCTCCCTTTGAGCCATCTCCAATGCCCACACAACTGCATCACTGCATTGGCCCCAATGTGGCAGCAGCTGCAGCCAATGCAGCAACAGCAGCTGGTGTGGAGACAGCGGCCAGTGCAGCAACAGAGGCCAGTGCAGCAACAGCAGCCAGTGTGGCTACAGCAGCTGGTGTGGAGACAGTGGCCAGTGCGGCAACAGGAGCCAGTGCAGCAACGGAGGCCAGTGCAGCGACAGGAGCCGGTGCAGCAATGGTGGCCAGTGCAGCAACAGGAGCCAGTGCAGTGACAGAGGCCAGTGCAGCAACAGGAGCCAGTGCAGCAACAGGAGCCAGTGCAGCAACGGAGGGCAGTGCAGCAACAGGAGCCAGTGCAGTGACAGAGGCCAGTGCAGCGACAGAGGCCAGTGCAGTGATGGGAGCCAGTGTGGCAACAGTGGCCAGTGCAGCAACGGAGGCCAGTGCAGCGACAGCAGCTGGTGCAGCTGTCCCACCTCTCATTCCACCATCACTCATCACTCCTCCTGCGCCCTCCCCCTCCTCTCCACAGCTGCCACACACTCTCTTCAAAATCAAGAAGCATGGTGTGTGTGCTGTGTGCAAAGCAGATGGACACATGAAGTGGAACTGTAATCACATCTGTTTGGGATGCAGCTCCACCACCGCCACTCCCACCTTCATCCATGAAGCATGCTTCGCCCGCCACCACAACCTCAACACCAACACTGTGGCCCACCTCCTCTCCCTCCAGCTCAATGCATAACCCTTGCCACCGCCACTGCTGCTGTCAGCTGAAAACAAACCCAAACGAAATGCATTTCAAAACGTGCTCCTGGCAGCGCATATTCATTATTAATTCGATTTATTACTGTTTTCAAAGGGATATATATCGCCCTTGACCAACACAAACTCGGATCTAGATAAAGGGGTCAGAGATAGGGAAGAGGGAACAAAGGGAGAACGGTATCGACGCGTAAAGGAGGAGTGGGACGCGGGCATGAGTCCGCATCTCAGGCGCTGCGAATTTCCCTTCTTCTTGCCGGGCTGGCCTCAGCCCTGTGAGGTGATGCTAATCTTTATTTTTGATACGAATGCAACACCCGGCAAGGCCAAAATGGCTAGGAGTGTGATGAATCTTTTGACCACGAAAGATCAACGAAGCCGTCCTAGCTCAGTCGGTAGAGCGCAAGACTCTTAATCTTGTGGTCGTGGGTTCGAGCCCCACGGTCGGCTATCTCCTTTTTTGCTGCCAAAGCCCCCCCCCCATTTGCTGGCGCAAGCACCTGGTGGTACAAAACTTGCAGAGGGTGCGCCATTCTATTTGCCGGAGCTTCAGAGACAAGTGTCGGGGGTGTAGCTCAGATGGTAGAGCGCTCGCTTAGCATGCGAGAGGTAAAGGGATCGATACCCTTCTCCTCCAACTCAATTTTTATTGATTTTTTCTACAGGCCACGGCCTTGTGACGTCAACCATGGCTTGTTAGCCTTTGCTCTCCAGCAGGTGTGATCTGGCATACCCATGCCAGTCTCGCTATTGGAACGCAGCACGGTTCATCAGTAACCCTCTGCGTTGCACCAGGCAACATTGCCTTATGTGCGAAAATAACACTAATTCGGTCGTTGGCGTGGATGTGGCCAATGCGGCGAGAGTAATATCAAGCTGTCCCTGCCATGGCACCGTTCGTCGCCCGCATACTCACACCTCAACTGCCGGCTGCTGGTGCGTCACCTCGTTCACCCTAAAGACGCCACCAGCTCTTCGTCCTCACACTTTGCCGCAGGCTTGTTTGTCACACGGACCCATCACTGCACCACCACCACACCGGCACCGGCACCAAAGCTCATAAGCTTAACCCACATAACACCACATCCACAACCTACGCCGCCCGCACCTGCCACCACCATCTCCTTCTTCCACACCAGCACGACTTGCCCGACGTTCTTTAGAGACCACTACTCAACCACCACGCTTCTCAAGACCACGATAGACGTGTAGACGAGAAAGATCGCAGAGAAAGAAGAAGTTGTAGAGAGCGAGGGAGCGAGGAGGATGACCTTCAGGTGGCTGCGTAGCAACAACAAGGAGAAGCAGACGAGCGAGTGGAGCACGAAGGACGTACAGCGCTTCTTCCGAGAGCAGCACCTCGAGGAGGTGGCGGTGGCGGCCAAGAAGGCCAAGCTGTGCGGCAAGCAGCTCCTGCGACACGAGCCCAGCGAGGCCAAGGAGCTGGCCCAGCTCTACGCCATGCTGGGCGTCACTCGCCTCGGCCAGAAGAAGAAGCTACGGTCGGCCCTCATCCACCTTCGCCAGCAGAGCCTTTCCGAGGAGTTCGGCGTCAGCCTTACTTTTTCTTCTTATTCTTCAACTTCTTCAGCTTCTTCTTCTTCATCTTCTTCTTCACCATCTTCCTCTTCCTCCTCTGTATCCACTTCAAGCAAGACCCCCAAGGCTGACTTCTCCCTTAGCGACACCACCATCACGAAGGTGTCGTCGTCGACCTGGTCGCCGGTCGTGCCTTCGCGCCGGGTGCGCTCGGGCTCAGGCTCGAGCTTTGGCACGCCCTGCGCCTCGGGCGAGTCCACGCCGTCTTCGTACCACACGCCTCAGTCGTCGCCGCCGTCCACGCCCGTCCGCCTGCGCTCGCTGTCCGACGCCGCCGACCTGGCCCAGCGGCTCGACGACGTCACCAACCTGTCCGAGGCCTCCGCCTTTCTCCACCGAAACTCTGTCGTCACCGTCAAGGCCGCCCTGCGTCGCCGCGCGACCCATAACAAGTCGGTGGTCGCCTACGACGAGGTCGACGTGTCGCTGCTGCGGCTTGATGTGGGGAGCGGATCCCGGCAGCTGCAGTACGCGGACCTGGTCGAGGAGGTGGCGCGCGTGCATGGCTCGGTGGCCACGAAGAAGATGAAGATCCGGTACACGGACGGCGAGGGTGACGAGGTCACAATCCTCGGCGACGACGCGCTGCGCTACGCCTTCCGCGACTGGCGACAGCGTGTGCAGGCCACCCCGCCGGGCAGGCTCGCACCGAGCTGGCGGCTCTGCCTCGACGGCGATGACGAAGACGAGGGCCACCACCTCAGCAACTACGACGAAGACGTGCCCATCTTGCCGTGTAAATAAAGAGAAGAAAAAAAAGACTATTGCAGCCTGTTTTGGGTCGGGGTCACACCAGCAACCGGGCACCGCGGCCACCTTAAGGTGAAAACGTCGACACATTCCCTTTAAATATTCAATTGGCGTTTACCGTGGGAGGGTGGCGGAAGTCTGAGCGAAAAGTCACTCACGCAGCTGCTGGCCACTGTAACCGGAGGTCAGCCTCATCTGGGGACTTGTTGCGCTACCACTCCGCGTGCCTTCTTCGAACACGAACAACGTTTTCGCGTGACTCCTGTCCCACTGTGCTGGCGTTGAAAACTGGAGCTTGCCACTCAGACCATTTCAAAGAGAGGAGTGGCCGGTGGCGGACAGAGGCGTTGACCACCCCCGACGAGGACGACAGGTTAACTTCCACTCTCTCCTCGAGGCAAGCTAGAACACTTTCGGCAGGCGACTCGCACCACGAGCACAGCGCTACGCAAGAGAGAGAGACCACCCGGTGGTGGTGAACTAAAGGCCCGCGGCACCAAGAGGAAAGAACGAAAGCGACGTTGAACCGACGGTGGGTCGGAAAGAACGAAGAAGCGCGTCACGTCGAGGTACGGAAAGGACCTCCACGCCAATTGACTCGAGCTCGCCTTTGCTGCAACCACCAACCTTTCCCTGGTGGGCCTGACCACCACGCCACATCAAACCCACACTTCTCCTCAGATCCATCACTACTCGCCGCTCCGCCCCCCCCCCTCTCAAATCTCTTTCTTTTCTTCATCTTTACATCTCGATCGAGTAGAGAGAGAGGAGTTTGAGAAGAGAGACAGAGATGAGCATCAACGAGCTCTTCTCCGCGACGTTCAACTCGCTCCGCCGAGCCAGATCTGCCGCCGCGACGGGAAGAAAGGCGGAACGAGCTCTTCTTGCTCATCATCATGAAGAAGTGGCGGCCGAGTGGCCCGCCGTGAGCGAGTGGACGCGCAAGCAGGTGCGGGCCTACTTCAAGCGGCAGCTGCAGCTGGACGAGTACGTCGGGGCGCTGCGTCGGGCCAAGGTCGACGGCGCGCGGCTCGTCGCCCTCCACCACGCCAACGCGCTCTACACCACCCTGGGCGTCACCAAGATCGGACACAAGAAGAAGCTCATGGTCGCCCTGCGCGGCCTTCTTCAAGCCCAAGCCGACGCATCGTCGTGGCCTGCCGTCGACGCCGCCGCCGCCGATGGCGACCACCAACGACCGTGCGGCGATGGCGGCGGCGGTGGCAATGCAGGCCTCCGGGTCAGGCGAGCGACGATGGCGGCGGCTGACGACCAACACGACCACCACCACCACAACAACCGCGGAAAGAACGAAAACGACGAGGTGGTCGTTGCGGGAGCGGCAAAGGACGAAAGAACGAAAGCGACGACGACGACGACAGTGGTGGTGCCGCCGCCGCTGGATTGGGCCAAGCTCCAGCGCTCGCGGTCGTCGCCGGTCGACGACGCCGTCTCGGTGGTCTCCTCGTCCGAGTCGGCGGACTCGCCCAGGAGTCAGCACTCGCCGCGCCCGGCCACCACCCGGTCCGCCGGGCGGTCGCCGCGCCCGCACCTCGCGGCCCACCCCATCGTGCGCACCGGGTCGCGCGTCCACATCAACATCCGCGACCTGGCCCTGCCGCCGACCTTTGGAAGCGCGGTGGTCCCGGCCGTGTCGACCATGTCGCACGACACGGCGTCGACGTCGACGAATGCGGCCTGGTCTGTGCCGGTGTCGCCGGCCGGCTCACACGTTTTTGGCGCCATCACGCCTTCATCGTCGTCTTCGTCGTCGCCACCGCCGTCGGCCAACATTCAGCATCTTCATCTTCATCGACAATCGGCGGCGCCGACGTGCACGACGCTGGCCTACTCGCGCGCATTCGGCGGGGTGGCGGTCAAGTGCGTGTACGGCGACGACGTCAGCATGCTCCGCTTCCACTTTGCCGGCGTCTGCACGGAGAGCGGCGACGACAGCGACAGCGAAAGCGATAGCGAAAGCGAAAGCGACAGTGATAGCGATAGCGACGACGACGAGCAGAAGGAGGAAGCGGACAAGCTCCACTTCGTCGAGCTGCGCGATACCATCCGGACCGCGTACGGGCGCAACCTGCGAGTCAAGTACAGCGACCGGGACGGGGACACGATCAACATTGACAGCGACGCGTCGCTCAACTACGCCTTCAACGACTGGCGAGGCCAGATCGGCCTCGTCGATCACCACCATCAGAAGGCCACGACGAGCTGGCGGCTGCATCTGCACGACTTTGACGATGATCATCATCACGGCCATCACGGGTCGTCGCTTTCTTCAGCCTCTTCGCTTTCCTCGCCTTCGTCTTCGTCTTCTCTCTTCCTCGCCTCCTCGACTGTCCATGACACCGTCGTGGAGACACAGACCAGAAGCAAATTGTATAAATAACTCGCAGAATGCACACTTGTAAATTTCTTTTCCATTTTCCTTTTCTGGTTCCTAGTAAAAACTAAAAATAAAACATCAAAAAATGGAGGACATGGACCAGAGGCAGAAGGACGAGGTGGCGGCGAGGCGGGGGCAGCTCACTTTGGCGGGCATGAACCAGTTTTATGTCGACTGCGCACGTGAGGAGTGGAAGTTCGACACCTTGTGCGACCTCTTCAACATCATCAACCTCACCCAGGCCATCGTCTTCTGCAATACCGCCGACAAGGCCACCTGGCTCGCCGCCAAGCTGGCCAGCGACGGCTTCTCGCTCGCTGCCGTCCACGGGCTGACCGATGCCACCGACGCCCGCGCCGCGCTGACCGACTTCAGGGTCGCCGTCGTCCGTGTGCTCGTCGTCACCGACGGCGTCCTCAACAACAGCGGTCTGCTCCCATACGCGTGGCTCAGCGTCAACTACGACCTGCCCGCCAGCCTGGACGACTACATGACGCGGGTCGGCCGCTCGGGCAGGTTTGGGCGCAGGGGCGTGGCCATCAACCTTGTCACGGAGGAGACTGCCGCCCAGGTGCGCCAGCTTGAGGAGTACTACAACACGGCCATCGCGGCCCTACCCGACGACCTCTCATTCCTGTAAAACTCTTTGAACTTGGTACCTTACACAGCGAGATGTTCAACAAATGATAAATAGTACTTATTTGATTCCTTTCTTTATTTGAAAAGAAAACACGGGCTTGCCGTGAGAGGCCTCAGTTGCGGTTGGGGTCCTGATCGCTCACCTGGAGGAGGTATCGCACGCGCACCTGCGAGGCATCGTACACGATGTACCTGTAACACATTTTGTAATAGAGTTGTTTCATGTTAGCCCGCATTTACACGAATAAATAAATAAATAAAAAAACAAACAAATAAATAGATAAGAAGAACAATAAATAACCACAAAAGGCATAAAGGGGGGCGTACTCGTTGTGCTGGAGGCGGTAGTAGTTGTAGTGGTTGTACTGCTCCTTGGGGTCGACGGGGTAGGTGATGACCTGGCCCATGGGGATGCCCACGCCACTGGGCAGCACGATCGATTTGCTGAAGTCCGGCCCGCGCTGGCCGATGCCCTTCGTCGAGTGGGTGCCCTCGGGCGCCTTCTCCATGTAGGCCGCCTCCTTGATGGCGTTCATGTCGCCCAGCGCCACCTCGCACAGAAGCATGAACCCAGTCTGTGTGTCGTGTCGTGTCGTGTCGTGTCGTGTCGTGTCGTGTAGTGTCGTGTGCAGTTAGTTAGTACATTGTCGGACCGCACGACACGCACCGCACACAACCCGACACGAACCTGCTTTTGCTTCTTGCCGGGCCGGTGGTGGTAGCTGTAGTCGTCGCCCATGCGGCAGTAGTTGAAGCTCTTCTGGAACATGTCGGCAAAGTAGACGCCCTTGCCGAAGGCGTAGCCGCTCACGGGCGCCTCGG